TATATCTTTATGTTTGAAGCCTGAAATGTGGCAAAAGGTTGAAAAGTTCAAGGGGGCCGAATACTTTCGCAAGGCACTGTATAAATTAATGTTGGGCTTATTCTTGGCAGATAAAATTGTCCTTAATGCAAATCACTGTCTTTGTTCACACTGTTTGCATATTTGTAAAGCTTGTAAAGCTGCTTTTTGCTTTACCTATGTGAATATATTAAGTGTTTCAATTATGGTATTAATGTTATTCATTTGGCTAACATCTACAAATAACTTGGAACAATCAACACACCTTACATATAGTCGATAAAACAAGCTTTGACATTCTATATGCTGTGCATGCTAAAGTAACCAGATCCTTCTCATAATGTCGCATTTAGCAAAATTATAAAACAATCCATAAAAATGCTGAAACTGATTATTTCCAAAGGTAAGATAAAGTAGAGCAAAAACAAAAGAAAAAACACTGAAATGATGAACTAGTATGAGCCCATGAGCTCAATATTTGGTGAAAGCACTTTTGGCAGCACTTCCATACACAAGACTGTTTGGTAAGCCTCTGCCAACTTTGCAGACTGGCAATTTCTTCATTCTTTGTGGGAGATTTCCTCAAGCTCTCTCGTGTTTTTTGAGCATCACTTTTGGACTTTCAAGTCCTTCCACAGATTCTAAATAGGATATTGATAGGGACACTCAAGGATATTCACTTTCTTATTTTTAAGCCACTTCAGTATTGGCTTGGCCTTGGGTCATAGTTTTGCTGAATGGTGAAAGCCTGCATGGAGTTCGCAACAAAGCAAGCTATATTTGATCATGCCAACATGCTACGTGGTTTTATGGAAAGACAAAACTAAATTGTCTGGAGCAAAACCATCTTAGTGCATCACTAAATCAAATATCCCTATCGTAAAGCATAATTGCAGCAGTATTGTGTCAATTCAAAACTATTTATTCATCTCCGGGGTGACAATATAAGCAGCAGGCAGTGCAACATACAGTGCCGTGAAAAAGTGTTTTCAGATCTTTAGACAAAATCTACTATTAGATAAAAAGAACCTGAGTGAACAAATAACACCTTTTTATTTCATTTATTTAATTAAAAAAAATTTTTCCAACACCCATATTCTCTATGTGAAAAAGTAATTGCTTTAAGCTGCAGTAACTGCAACCAAACACTTCATATAATCCAATATCTTCCAATAGTCTTTCACATCGCTGTGGAGGAATTTTAGCACACCTCTCCTCACAGTTCAGAATCAGTAGTAGGTTTTCAAGCATGAATTGCTCATTTCAGGTCCTGTTACCACATCTCTATTGGAGTTAGGTCTGGACCTTGACTACGCCACTCCAAAACTTTAATTTTGCTTCTTTTCAGCCATTCTGATGTGGACTTGCTTTTGTGTTTTGGATCACGTACTTGCTGCATGACCCAACTATGCTTCAGCTTATGGATGGATGACGTTTTTCTTAAGAATTTTCCGATACACAGCAGAATTCATGGTTTCTTCAATTATAGCATGTCGTCCAGGTCCTGAGGCAGTAAAGCATCCCCACACCACCACATTACTACCACCATGTTTGACTGTTGGTATGATGTTCTTTACTGTGGAATGCTGTGTTTGCTTCACGCCAGACATAATGGGACCCATGCCATCCAAAAAGTTTCACTTTTGACTCATCTGTCCATAGAACATTCTCCCAAAAAGCTTGGGGATTATCCAGCTGCTTCTTGGCAAATGAAAGACAGGCATTTATGTTCTTCTTGGTTATCAGTGGTTCCACCTTGCTACTCTCCCATGAAGCCCATTTTTACCCAGTCTCTTTCTGATTGTGGAGCCATGAACACTGACCTCAGCTGAGGCAAGAAAAAGCCTGCAGTTCTTTGGATGTTTTTTAGGATCCTTTGTGACTTCCTGGATGATTTTAAGATGCACCCTTGGAGACATTTTGGCAGACCTGGGAAGATTCACTACTGTTCCAAGTGTTCTACATTTGGCTTATGGCTCTCACTGTGGTTCAGTGGAGTCCCAGAGTCTTAGAAATGGCTTTGTAACTCTTTCCAGACTGACAGATATCCACAACTTTTTTTCTGATCTCTTTAGGAATTTCCTTTGATTTAGGAATACTTTTTCACGGCATTGATCGTATAATTTTTTATCAAACATAATGCCCAAATATTTATAACTGTGGACAATACCAGCAGACTCTCTATAGATTGTTGTGGAAATAAGTTTTTTTTAATTCAACAGTTATTTCTTTTGTTTTTGACACATTCACCTGTAGTTAAGAGGTATCACACCAGTTGACAAATTCATCTATAATGGATCCATGTGTTTGTCTAGGCTCTGAGACCAGGGAGACTGTCGCCAGCAAACTTCATATAATAATTTCTATAGTTGCTTTGACAATCACCGATATATAAGATGAAAAGGAGAAGAGAAAGAAGTCTTGTGGTGAACCAGTGGAACTATAAACTGGGTAAGATGCCAAACCATAAATGTGTTCTATTGCATCAGAAAACGAATGCTCCATATGATAAGCTGATGATCTAATTTGAAACGTGTGCTTAATCTTTCAACCAAAATATGTTGTATAATGAGAAAGCATCAAAGAGAAGTCTAGCTGAAGAATTTTCCACTCTAAATGTTTATGAAGAACATTAACAGAAAAATTTTAGCATCATCACCTCCCCTTCTAGGATGGCAGGCAAACTGAAGGGGGTCAAGATCTGACACTATTACAGTCAAAGTGTGTGACTTGACTATTTTTCCAAGAGTCTTCATCACTAATGGAGTCAAAACTATTAGCCTGAAGTCACTGAGAACTTTACAGTTATAGTTGTTCTTAAGATAAATAAACCTAGAGTGCTTCCAGACAGCCAGAACAGTGCCATTGTCTAAAGAGAGCTAGAACAGGTGTTGGAAAAACTCCACTGAGTTCTTCAGCACAATACTTAGTGTTCTGCTATGTATTTCATCGGGACCAGGTGCGTTGTTGACCTGGATCTTTTTTAAATGGTCTGCGACCATGCAAGGTGATTACTGCACTGTTTTTCCTGGAGTAAGTAGCTGAGTTGAGCTGAGTTAAGAAATTATACTTTTTAAAATGGGTAAAAAATATATTTAACTCATCACGTAGGACCCGTCTTCTAACTTCTAATGGACTGCAGCCATACTTTTAATGTTCTCGGTGGTATAGAGATTGCCTTGGTTAAATTTCTCCTCAACTTTATTTTTTATAAATATTTTTTGCTTGCTGTATTTCCATTTTCTTTCCACGCAATAAGCATTCCAGTCGGTGCAGTCAAGGCAGCCTTTCAACTCCGATGTTATTAATTTGACTGTTTCCACAACTGCCTCTCTAAGCTCTCTCCAAGCTTGACTACTGACTTGGAGTCAGGAGCAGGCAGGGTGGTATTATGGTCAGTAGCACTAGAACCAGACATAGAGAATGACCTATATGCTCTAGGGAAAGAGCTGTAGCATCTGTCAAGGATTTGTTTATGGTCTGTAACACTGTTAACACACTGGCGATTATGGTAAAGCACTTTTCAGGGAGCAATGATTAAAATCACCTAAAATAAACTTAGGGGCATCCGCTTAATTAATAACACCGACAATGTATTCAGCTGCCTTATCTGCACTGGCACAAGAACAGATATATACCATCACAAAAAAAAGTTGCGGGAACTCACATGGTAAATAGTATGGGTGGAGAAACACAGCCAAGAGCTCTTTATCCTTAAACACAGAACTGCTCTTGAACTACTACAGTTTTACACCACCTATGATAGACACAGACCCCCATTCCCTCTCTCTTTACCAGTACTGTTTTTATATCACGGTGGACTGGAGTTCCAAAACCATAAACAAGCCTTGTTTGGAAATCTGGTTGTTCAACCACATCTCTGCAAAAGCTACAGAGTGTATCCCTCTGTAGATAATTGTAGATAACTGACATTTACTTGCAGATCTCCTTATAATTGATTGTTTCAGTTTTGTTTCTTTTAAGTTATTTCTTAAGTGTGTCTATAGTCCGATAGTTTCTATAAACATCACATTTCCAAAGGTATATTATAATCCAATCATGCCGCAGCACTGTATTGAAGACTAAGAATTAATTCCCTGTCATCGTAGGTGAGCTCTGACTGCATATTCCCATGTTCAACATGCAGTGAATGAAAGACACACAGTGCTTCCATGAATTTTTTTTTTAAACATTCAATTTCCAAGACCAATAGACAACATTACATATGCATAAAGTAAGGACACGGAATAAACAATAACAAGAAGGAAAGAAAAAAAATCTAACAAAATTTACACTTGCAAGCTAACAGGTCAGCACAATAGCAGCGCCACAGAAGAGCTGCTTCTCTTCAGCTGTGACTTTGTCCCTCGTCAAGACTGAAAATAAAATGGCTCCATGTGCTAAAGACCCAAACTCGAGAATAACCCAAAACACAAAATCAAACCTACACTAGAGTGGTATAAAAACAAGAAAGTGAACATCTTTGAGTGGTTTTAAAGTCAATGTTCTACTTGAATCCAATAGATAATATGTAATAAGGCAAAACCTGAACATTGCGGTCATCTACAGATGGCAGTACAGATTGATAAGTACACTGCTGAGAAAACGTGTACTTTAAAATGTATATAAAAGATAAAAAAAGAACCAGTGCACTGATAAGCATTTATATATGAAAAAAGGGGAAAAACTAATAATTTTATAAAAACTAATGGTTTAAAACATTAAAGGCAGTATGACAGTGTATGTGACGGCTCATAATGTAACAAGTCAGGCTGGCTTAAAATGTTTACTTACTTGCCTCTCCTCTTGTATCTGACACACTTGCTGTTTTCCGGCTTCTTCCTATCCGCAGAGCCCTGGAATTCCCCATCCACCTCCTCCTCGTCTACTTGCACTGCTTTTTTGGAAGGTCGAGGTAGCAGCTCCTCCAGACCAGTGTCACATTCCCAGACACACAGTGCCCCATCCTGGCTCACCGTGTACAGCTGCAATGACAAACACCATCACATCCCTGACCAAAAAGAACTTCCCATAATTAAAAAGTGCACTAATATTATTATTTTAAAACAGGCAATAATTTAAAGCAATCAACAAAAGCAATTCTTGACTACTTCATTTTGAAGAACAGTAATAAAATATTAATATTATTCAGCAGGTGTGGGTAAAATTAAGAAATCCCTTCTTAAAAAGTATCATTATATATACAGATCCAGCAATTCAAAATGCGCAGAGTACTCTGCATTAAAAGGAGGTAGACATGGCGCATCATACCGCAATTTAATTTAATTATGATAATAGGATCTGGAAGCACCTTGTAAAACCGCCAGGTGGAGCTAATAAAGCTTAACGTCTCATGTACAGCATTTGAGCTGTCGCCAGAAAACACCCGTTTCGAATCCCAGTCACTGCAGAGTGACAATCTTTTTCCAATTAAGAATTTAAGTTGCATACTCTTTAGACTTTTAATAATTTTAAACTGTGTATTACAGCATGTTACTCATTAAACATTACAAAGTCGGTATATTTTATAAAAGATTGCTCAGTTGGACAAAACTACACAACCTTCCACCTTCATCATAAATAATTTCATTATTCATAAATATTTTACCCATCAAAGTCTTTAACTTGGTAACTTAGTGGGTTCTGGTTTTAATTCTAACATTAAGGTTAAACATAGAGCTTATTTCATAAAAAAGTTATAATGTTTTATGCTTTCCTATAAGAACACCACTTGCTGTTACTGTAAAAAGATAAATGTTGTAGTGATTTAACATCACTTGACAGTTATATGAATATGGAATCGTGTAACTAAGCAGCTAAAATATCACAAGCAGACATTTCGGAAACATTTTGATATCCGTTTCTTTTTTAAAAACTTTGTGTCCTTCTAGTGGTAATGGACAAAGCACTGCACCCAATGGTTCAAAGTGCGATAAGAGTATTACTTTCGGTTTCTTATATAGTGAATACATAAAAATAGTCCACTATTATGGCTTGTTGTTGGATCTGGCGTGAATTTGTGTATATGGATAAATTTAGTGATGATACTGTGATGAAGGATTTTAAGGATTTCTAATAATAATGAATCTTTCGCAAGGATGTGAAACGTGACAATTTGTTACAGTTACCATCAGGAGAAAAATCAGTATATCTTTTATTTGTGGCTGCTGCAGTGGCTGGATAGTTAACACTTCCCAATTACTCTGTCAGTCTGTCTGCGGGGGAAGGGGGGAAAGGGGCAAAGAGAGGGGGTACTCTCCTTGACAGCTGACACTCCTCCATACGCTTAAGTGAAAAAGTAATAAAAGTGCCAATGTAAACATCATATTTACAATTTGTTGAAAATAAAAATTTACAGTTCTCTAAAGCTTTCTCAGTCAAGTACAAGAATTCAACTAGGGAGCTGTGAAAGCATGCGTAGGTAGCAAAAGATCTGCTAAAGAGGGAAGAAAAAGCTTTCAGAGAAAAACAACATTTCAGGTGTGAAGAATACAGATCCCTAATTCAATTACAGCCTAAACCTTTCCCCACACACCCTGCCCCCGCTGCGATTGGAATATACACAAAGCACTGAAAGCTTTACAGTAGTTGATCAGGTGTTTCGCAGACGCAGGGATAGTACGTAATTCTGTCTTTATGAACTCACACCTGGGATTCGATTAATTTAAAAATTTTAAAAAATGCACCAGATACTAGATCTTGTTTATATTAAAGTTATATCACTGAGCAGTTTTGGACGGTGGGCTGTTTTGTCAGCAACCTGCTAATCTGCTTAACACCTGTAGAAAACACTATTTTATTTCTGTACGGAATGCGTGTTGCGTTTACAAAATTAAAGTGTTTCAAATGTTTAATTAAGAAGTAAAAAGAACTTATAGCTTACACAAAGACTCAAACTACAGTATGGAAAAACGAGTGTTAAGAAAAAACAGAACATTTGATTGCCATAAGATACAATGACGTGTTCCTGCCTAACTCAAATATTGCCTGACTTTAAAAGCTGTAAAAAAATGGTTTAGATAGCAGAAAGTCACCTTGCTCTTAAAAGACTGTTGTTGTTAAAACAACAACTTTGTCTTTCAGTGAAAACAATGACCAGGGGCACTTTTCCTTCCCCCCTATATTCTAATGTACGGGTAGAATAGGCGAACCATCCAATGAAAGACAGGTTCCTTTCGCCCAAGACTGGCAGGAAAGAGTCTAAACTCACCACACCCAGACTTAACTCAATCAACCTTTTTGAATAACCTTGCAAATGCCCTCACACTGTAAAATATGCACTCAACGTGCCACAGGTTTCACATTTACTGTACATGTCAAACCAGTTGCGATTTTTTTTCTCCATAGCCTCCGCTTTATCATTTATACAGTATGCCTATTCAAGAGACATTTTCATTGTCGATAACTATGCGGGGAGAGCATGTAGATTCCAAAACACTCTAAGGCTGCAGAAGTGAGCAATTATAGTTTCAGTGGTATTTTTAATACAGCTTTGTTATTTTTGAGTCTAATTACAATATATACCATTTTGTTTTAAGGCTTGAGGCATCTGTTAAATTGCCCCACTGAATAAAGTGTTTTGAATTAAAGCGGTTGAACAGTTGACAGTATTCAAGTTTGCCAGTTCACGTTTTTATTTCATTATTAATATAACTTAACATTGAATATGTTATTATATATACAAAAAAAACATGTTCATATAGTTTACATAATACTTCACCATGCATGAATAAGTCAAATTAAAAAAAACTTGTTTACAAGTGGATTACAGTAATATTACAAGCTATATAAATACATATATTTCGATCCTTAAATTAATATCGTTATTAATTTCTTTCGAATTTCCAAATTATATTCCCTGTTAATCAAATTCTAAAAAGTATGAGTTTTTTTACTGCGATGATGAGCGCAAATATTCATAGGAAAGGTTAAAACATTATATACTTCATAAAAAGTTATAAACTTAATAGTTAGGAGCACAAAAAAACTCATATGTAACCGAATGAAAGACTTTGATGCTTAAAATGTTTAGGAAGAAAGTGGAATACTGGTGTGTATTTTTTATTTAAACTACCAATACGAGCCATACACACTTTACACAAGGAACAAGTGGTAGGTTTATTCCATGCTGAAAAGAGTTTCGGTCGTGGAGCCTTTTCATGTTTTCTTTCTTCTCTTTTCAGCATGGAATAAAACTATTACTTGTTTCTTTGCAGCCTACGCATGCTGACACAGCTACCCAACTGAACTACATTTTACATAATATGTTTATGTTCCTAAACTAATATCATTTATGACCCTCAGACACCTTATGCTCCTCTTCTTTTTAGGCTCAGCTACTAACATTTCCCTTTAGTTGTAAAATTCCATATAAATATTCAATATTAAGTGGATTAAAGCATGCACAGTAAAGACATTAAATGATTAAATCATTTCACTTACAACTAATGCTCCACAAGTTAACTTTGTGTGTCAGTAAAAAAAATGACCACGGGCACTTTTCTTTCCCCATAGGTTGTTTAAAACAAAGTCGCTCACAATGGGCTAATCCTTCAGTCATTCTCTCTGATGCAGTGCATCAGCTGGTCAGGTGACTGACATTATTTCCCACTGCATTCTGGGGAATGTAGTTTGACAAGAACCTTCATCTTGTCTCCATCTATCACCCTCTCACAATTAATCATGCATGAATGAGTCAAATTAAAACTAAAACACGTTTACAAAGAAAGTGGATTACAGTACAGTTGGGTATGCATGGTTAGCAACACAGGGTCATTGTTATGATTTCTCTATTATCAAATCCCTCAACTCATTCACTTGCGGTTATTTTGAAAACATTTTGACATGTTCCTTTTAACTACATTGCTGTCAATATTGTAGCAATAGACAAAATGAAACACTTGAAGTTTGTAATGTAGGGTGCTCTGAACGAACTAAACTTTGATGCAGGATGAATATGTATTTCCCACAAGAATATTATACTGTAGTGGCAGTACAGTAGCAGTTTGAAATTATTCGTTATTATCACTTAGCTTCAAACATGTTGTGATATTTAGAAATATCAAAAAAGTCAATATAGTGTACATAATATTTGCTATTTTAGTTTTTCAAAGAAATGTTTGTTAAAAGAAAACTCACGGCGACAGCTGGGTTCGAACACCCAACCTCCAGCATGCAAGGCACACGCCTTAGCCATTACACCATACACGCAGTCACGGGTGAATGAGTTAAACTGATGCAGACATTTACAAAGAAAGTGTACTACTGTGATAATTCAAGCTTGAGCCATTTAACATTCCCTATTAATCAAATTCTAAAAAGTATGTGTTTTTTTAGTGATAACGAGCGCAAATATTCAAAGGAAATGTTAAAACATAACTTTTATTGAAGTACATAAACTTAATAAAGTCAGAAGAAGCCAGTAAAAAACATTTCCAAAATAATTGCAGTATGTAACTGAATGAAAGACTTTGTTTAAAATGTTTAGGAAGAAAGTGGAATACTGCTGTGTATTTTTTTTATTTAAACTAGCAATACCAGCCATATACAGTTCACATAATATGTTGATGTTCCTAAATTAATATCGTTTATGACCTTCAGATGCATTATGCTCCTCTTCTTTTTATGCTCAGCTTCTAAAATGTCCCTTTAGTTATAAAATTCCATATATTCAATATTAAGCAGATTAAAACATGCACAGAAAAGAGATTAAATATTAAAATCATTTCACTAACAACAAATGCACCATGAGTGCCCCGTTGGTCATTTTGGCCAGCCAATCACGTACTGCGGTACAACGCGGCGAACTATAGATAATTTTGCGCAGTACAGGGTTGTACCATGCATTTTGAATGGCTGCATCTGTAAGATGAATTAATAAATGCAAACATTAAAGCAGCAGGCCGTGCACTAGGGGCTTCAACTTAAAGGGGCTTACATCCAAGCTGTAGGCTTCAAAGAAGCATCCTACTATGACATCCTTGTGTCCTCCAAGGCTGTAGTACACCAGGTTTTCCCAGCGCTCTGCTCCAAACACCCAGGTAGACATGTCTTTGCTCCCAACAACAAAACATCTGCAACCAAAGGGGAAAACAGTATTTATAAACAAGTTTCAACAACAAAACAATATTCAAAAGGGACAAATCAAGAACAAAACTCAAGTAACTTCTTGAACAGTTTGGATAACTGAAAAAAAATAACTCTGACATTCATATGACCAGAGCGTTTATATAACTGTATTTTGTCATATTCCCTTGGCTTAGTTTCCTCCATATGACACTTTATACAGACATGCCAGCTAAACTGTACCCAAGATAAGCTTGTAGAAACGAAGTAAAATACTCACAAGTCTCCAAGGCACAATGCTAATACTATGGTCCTATTAAAAAATGGAAACAACTCAGTTGGAGTGTCTGCTTCTCAAGGACACAACCACTCTTGCATAGTGCCAGGAATTATTTTTACATCAAAACCCAAGATACCACGGAGAGTTTTAACCACAGTAAGTTATCATCAAAGCTTAATTTTGAGTCTGACCCTGATTACCCACTTTGAATCACCTGACACACAAAAAGTTTCGTCAGCCTTTGACAACAAGCCAATGCCACTCACTTGGAATCATCTGTCCAGTCAATGCATGTAGTCTCATCATAAGGCCCATAATAACTCTTGTCAAGGACAAAGGCATTGAACTCTCTCCTTTTTCCAGGTGCATGGTACATTAGTGCCATGTTATCTTTTGTGACAACAAATTTCCTGAGGAAAATGAATATAAATTGTAAAGCAGAATTCTATTTAGAACGTTATATAGGGTATCAAGAGGTCTTTCCAGGGATCAGAAGATCTGAAATTTAAAAAGCAGAGCAGTGTTTAAAGATTTGGGGGGTGCTTGCATGCTGCTGATGGCTACTGTCTTGTTTTTCTTAAATAGGACACTTAATTCATCAGAGGAATGTATGGCCTAAAATGTTTGACCTCACACATGTTAGCACTCTCATTTAACGTATTTACACAGAGTGACACCAAGGCAAAAGAAGGTGACACAATAATTGAAAGGGAAACATCTGATACGAATCAAAAGAAACAAATTTCTCTTGGCTTCTTAATAAACTAAGAATTCTATCATATTGCTAACTATGGTTTGGAGCTATTAGATAAACTGACGACTGAAAGATACTTTTGTTTCTAAAAATGCTGATGCCCTTTATGCATTACTCTTTAAAGTTGTAACTTAATGAGAACAGGATATTGCTTTTCCTGAAGAAAATAATCTCTACAACAGAAGATAAAAATAAATCAATCCCAAATATTACCCGCAACAGATACAACGGTCTTCCTACACCAAGGTAAATATTTCTGAGGTATTCACCACAAACCTTTAATGGACTTGGATTAAACTGATGCAAGCACCTAAAGGAGAAAAGATCCCAGTATCTAACCCCAAATTCCTTTATACAAACACGAAAAGGCAGAAGCTAAAATTTTGCAGACCTGCCATCAGGTGAGAAGCTAACGCAGTGAACAGGCTTGTGGAAATGGAAGTGGTGCAGAACTTCTCTAGTGACCAGGCTGACCAGCAATGCTGCTCCATCTGCAAAGGATAACCCCGTAAACATAACATATGTTCTCTGACTGACAATTGACAATTCAATTGAGAATACTGACAATTCTCTGCTACAGAGGTGAATAATATGCTGGTGATGAGACCAAGGAAAAAGCTATAGAAGGTACAAGCTTAAACGTCTTGCAGTATTCTTTTAGCTCTTTTCAGGTGTGCTGCTTTGAGTTACATGTGGTTCTGCAGTATGGGTCCTCCAGAATGACTTTTCAAACACACTTACCATTAAGTGAAATAAAAGCAAAAAACACTCACACAACAGTATATGCTTAGCTATTCTAAAAAGTCATTAACTGCCAGTTTCCTTTCTAGCTTCATATTTCTGCAGTTATTTTAAAATACTTACTGACTTTACGACTCCCAGCCCTCACTACCATTTTTGAAAAAAATCTCAAAATCCAAAATCAATAATACTTACCTTCATCTACCAAAATAGCAAGGTTTCCATCTGGTGAAAGTCCCACACAAGTGATATTCTTTGTTGTAGCCACTGGCAAGGTCTCTGACCTGTTACTGTTTTTGCCAACAGAAAAGAGGAAATTAAATATATTGCAGCATAATTTGTAATTAACACCTCTAGTCCTGTAAATAAGAATATCAACTATTATCTGACATTTCCAGTATTTGTACAGATTAATCACTGATCAGTTATCTTAACACATGAAATGTTTGCCTCATCTTAGTACAATTTTATGGCTGAATATGGCTGAAATGCTACTAATATAATTATGGAACTGTTTAGAACAATATACATTTTTAAAGAAGAAACCAGCGACAACAACCCATCGGTACCTATAACAACATGGACTAAAATGGAATAAAAATTTACTGTCATTTATTTGCTCAACAAATGAAAGGACTTTTACATCAAGGTCATGTTCTATATCACAGCTGACATGCTTTCACACTGATAAAAGTAGATTTCAACTCTAGATTTAAGGTTGCAACATTTACAATTATACATTATGCCAGCAGCCATATCAACCTGTAACACACAACCAGCGACACACTGAAGCTAAACAGGTGTGAGCCTGGTCAGTACCTGGATGAGAGACCTCCTGGGAACAACGAAGGTTGCTGCTGGAAGAGGTGTTATTAGGGCCAGCAGGGGGTACTAACACTGCGACCTATGTGGGTCCTAATGCCCCAGTATAGTGACAGGGACACTATACTGTAAAAAGGCACCATCGTTCAGATGAGACGTAAAACCGAGGTCCTGACTCTCTGTGGTCATTAGAACGTTTCTCGAAAAGAGTAGGGGTGTAACACCAGTGTCCTGGCCAAATTTCCCATTGGCTCTTATTGATCATGGCCTCCTAATAATCCCTATCTATGAATTGGCTTCATTATTCTGTTCCCCTCCCCACTAATAGCTGATGTGTGGTGAGCATTCTGGCGCACTATGGCTTCCGTCGCATCATCCAGGTGGATGCTGCACATTGGTGGTGGGGAGGGGGAGTCCCCATTACCTGTAAAGCGCTTTGAGTGGAGTGTCCAGAAAAGTGCTATATAAGTGTAAGCAATTGTTATTAATTATTATTATTTGAAACTTTCAGAAGGCATATTTTTAGATTACAATCAAGTCACATTCAATTATTTTAATATAGTATTTTTGCTCCTAATAAGTAAAAATATTACTGATATATGCAAACTAATCCTTTAGCTAAAAGACCAAACAAAATAATTAACACATTGATCATTAATAACCTAAAATGCTGTTGTATTTCACTAAATGTGTTCTCTTAGTGTAATTTACATAAATCAAATTCTGTTAAAATATTAAATAGAATCTTATCATTATTAATGGATCACATGTATTGGCTCATTTGTTGTAAGAATGTATCAGCCTGCTCTTAGTTTATATACCAGGTACAGAGACAATAACAAAAATGTATTGTACTCTACCTAAAGCTCATAACATTTCTTTAAAATCACACTTAACAGAAAAATCTGGGGTCCTTCCACATACTTACTTTTTGAAGTCAAAGATAGAGATTCTGTTTCCCACTGGACTAATGACCGAGTTACCATCTTTACAAAAATTAAGGTTGCCTTGCCGATATACTGTTCCAAGTAAATTTGAAAACTAGAAAGGAAAAAAAAAGCAAGCATCAAACTGGTTGAAACACGTAAGAAAGAACAAGATAGGGTTTTCATTGCAAATTACCATACATTTTGAAAGAATATTCAAATTATATCCATTTTCCGTATGTAAAATATATATAAATGTAATTATGTAAAGGCTGTAGCTCAATGCATGGAACAGTGAAAACCTAAACCACTGTAACACACTCTTTAGTATTAGGTATAGTAGTATTAACACCATGTCTGCTAAACACAGACATACCTAATAAGACACCTGCATTTGTTTTAAATGTAACTGATCTGGGCATAAGGTTAATCAGTTTATTTATATATTTTCAAAGTCTTCTTGATCTAAAAATACTCCTATGGTCAAGAACTATTTCTTTAATCTGCTTTTCTTATCCTGTATTACAGTTGGGCTATATATATAGTTTTCCTCAAATTGTAATTTCACAAAATGGGACCCAATAAGAATGTTCTGAATACTTTTACAAGGCACCATGAATCAGAGGTTCCACTTGCAATCAAACTAGAAAGGTTGAAAACAAAATAACTGAACATTGATGGATGAAATCTATTTTTGTAATAATCTTAAATGTTAATAAGGTAAAAGCAACGCATATAACGGATATTTCAATCTGCTATACTTCTGCTATAGGTGAAATGCAATTTAATACTATTTGTCGCGGAAAGCACACTGTCCTCGATACCGGGAAATCATATTTCATAAATACGTAGGTTGAATGTCGGTATTAAAGCCGCATCATTTCAGAACAACATCGGCATTTTTTCTATGAAAAATCCTTCATTTGATTAAAGGATTTAATCATCAGTGATTTTTCAGGAGCAGAAAATAATTTTGATAATTAAGGATTAGCTGCACTAGCTCTCTTTCACGCATGAAACGATGCCTGAACTGATATGAAAAAAAGCCTTATGTTAAAAGTCCCACAATTCGCTGTCTGAAACAATGGTCAGACAATGAATTCTGCATAGCTCCGTTAAACTGTACATTGAAGCAAGTGATTTAAAAATACAATATCACCACTTTCAAACAGCAACTTACTTTATATGCAAATTTCATTCTCAACGACGAGATTTCGTGAGGTTTTACCGGTATTCAGACACCCCTAAAAATTAATATAACAATTTTTTAAAAATGCAACACTCCAGAAGCCACCTACAGAACGGACAACGATTCAGCATTTACACATGTGGTCCAACATGACTGATCTCTCGCGTGTTCTTCCGGGTAACGGCATACGTACTGTGGAGTAGTAGCGTGAAGCAAGCTACATTAAGCGACGCTGGCTTGGCAGCACCTTTCAAAATAAAAGTATTTAAACCTACTTAGAAAAAAATAATCCTGGACCATGTAAAGTCACATTTATAGCACAACAACAATTTGTACATCCTCACAACTAGGTGGAATGTGATAAGTAGACCCACAGATAATAGGAAACTGTCGTTGTTTGCTCATTTTTTGCTTTCTTAAAATCTTATTGGTGTTTTTATATCACTTCCTCCTTGCAAATTGACACAGAGCTGTGCACTGCTAGACAGGAAAAAGTATCATTCCTGACCCCCCAATAAAATGTGCCTCTCCAAAAGTAGTTCAGACCTTTTCACAAGACTCACAGGTAATAGAAAATCACCATGGTTTTCTCACATAAGTGTCTCTGTCAAAACTGCTGGGGTTGATAAGACCACCTCCAATTCCCAGACTGGGACCATGAAGCAATGGACAGGGAGCGGTCTCACCCCCCTCCCAACCAAACAAACATTTGTGCCTCTCCAAAAATATCTCACATCTACTCTACAGACCCTCAGCTAATAGAAAATAACCATGGTTTTGTCAGATGAGCGTCCTTTGCTAAAGTTGTTGGGGTTTTTAAGACCACTTGCTGTTCCCAGACCAAAATTTGTGCCTACTAGAACTGACTCATATCAGATCTACAAACCCCCCAATAATGTTCACCTCTGCTTATAGACTTTCCTTCATGGCATATTGTTGATTTAATAGTACATTGCACTTTACCAACACCTTTCAATTCCAATTGCAGTTCTCAGTGGAATGTGTTCTGGGAATCTGAATCCAGTAGTTTGTGGAAAATAGCTCAATCATTTCTTCCAGACCACTGTTTAATGATAAGTGGCTTGTTGGAATCATTTGGATGACCATCAATTTTGCATTTATCATTTAAACTAAAAATGTTTGATTGTCTTGATGGGGGGTTTTTGGAATTAAAGCCTGAAATGTTGTGGAATTTTCTTTTCTTGTTCAATTCCTCCTCTTCCACAAGGGCAGGAGACTTACTAATTCTAGAGAAATTCAGTCTTATCTTATCGCAAAATTCCATTTATGTGCTTTTTAAGGTTAGAGTTCCTAACCTTTCCACATATTCATTTCGAACTTTACCTCAGAAATTGATGCAGTCTGTCCATTTTTGGTATTGCTGAAATCTGCCTATTAATATGTTTGTCCATATTGGGATCGATGACAAAATTTGTTTTTCCAAAAAAAAAAGTTATTAACCAAAATAGGCATTGGGCCCTTTGTTCTCCTGTCTGTTTATATCTGCCATTGCCTTAATGTAATTTTTTTAAATGGTGAAGAAATTGAGAATTCACATTCTCTATGCATCGAAAATCAACATCTGAGTCCTCAGCACCTGTAACAGTGGGGACACTGCTAGTGTTCAGTTGTGACACTCGATTTTTGAGATTGGAAATAGATTCTGTGACAAGTGTGTTACTGTATATAATACCCATTAAAATGCAGGTGTCATAAATATGAGTGGACAGGTCTTCTAATCCTGTGGAATTAAGTATGACACTGAAGATATACATGTCGACATTGTGTCTTTACACTTTCCTCTATACTGGTTTTTACAGAGTTCATGAGTTCACTAGCTTGAAGTATAGCATGACTTTAACTGGCCCTAACTAAAGTACACCTTAGTTCATGGTCCTGTGCAGTCCCATTGACAGTTTTCCCACACCTTTTGAGATAGCTTTCCATAGTGTCCCCATTGAAAATATTTAGTCATGCTCTGAGCAACACTATGGAGCAATCACTTTTAATTTGAAAAGGTAGTGTGTTGTGCCTCTTTTCTTGATCTCTAAAGGCTGTTAAAAGTTGCTCGACAGCACTTTGATTGCTATGGGCACAGCCCTATATGGTGGGACAGGACTGCATACAATCGCCTCTTAATACAAAGTTTGTTTCTTGGCCAAATCCGATTTAAAAATTCCCTGTGTTACATCCTGAAAAGCTGTGTTGCTGCACATCAAGTCATGCCACAATCAAACACCCAATTCAATTAAACATACCACCTAATGGTGGAGCTGGTATACTTTGAATAAATCCTTTCACATATTTGCTAGTTTTATCTCCACCTTCAGGTGTCTGTTTCAAAAATTGAACTGCAGCTGGTTTGTCACTATCAAGTAGCTTATTGGCTTGATGTTCAAATTTATTTTTTCTTGGACTGGATGTGCTGCACCCAACCCCAGATGTTATTTGCGCCTTTTCTAGCAACTCATTATATAATTTATACACCCTGACATTTATCATTTCCTCACCCAATTTCTGTATTTCATGTTTACTAGATGGTCTTGCTTTTAAAGTCTCACAAGGATGCTCTGTCAGCCCTCTGTAAACTACCTGAAAAGGTAGACTTTGCAGGGTTTCAGGGGTGATAACAAAATTCATTTTATAGGACTTATGACCACAGTACCCATGTATTTTCAGATACAGTGGTTCCTAGAACATCTTCTAATACAGTTGTTAAATCTGCTTGACTTAAACATTAAGATACAATATTGGTTTGTCTCATTGATTTTTGCTGCAAACACATGTTCCCATTTACAGTATACTTCTTGAAGGACCTTCCCTTGAGATGCTGCACTAAGGCAGCAAAGGCAGTTCCCGGGAAAGGGAAAAGTGTGATTTTGTTCGTATTGTGCTTCTGAAAAACTTCACCTTGGCCTTTTCTGATAAAATTATCTCTGTAAAATTTCCTGGGTTATTATAGCTGGTTTTGGAAAATTAACACTGTGCTCTCAACCTAGTGTCTGGTCCCCAGTACCGTCTGGGTGCCTTATCTTGTGTGTTTTAATTTCATACCAGCTACCATCTAGATTCATACCATTGACATCACTTCTGCAGCCATCCATACTGCACATTTTGCTTTCAGAGGTAATAACATGAGGAACAATTTCCTTGGGTGATGGATGCACTATATGCAATACTATTTTCCACTTCTGTGTCACCATTTAGCTTGACTTCCCTATCCTGGGAAACCATCTGTTTATTGTCTGTCTGACCACAATAAGCCCCAAAAATTAGATAATCCAGCGCTGTTTGAACACCAATGCTGACATGTGTCCCAGTCTGGGAACAGCAAGTGGTCTTATAAACCCCGGCAACTTTAGCAAAGACATTTATATGACAAAAACGTGGTTATGTACTATTAGCCTAGGGTCTGTAGAGTAGATTTGAGGTATTTTTGGAGAGGCACAAATTTTGGTTTGGTTGGGAGGGGGGTGAGACCACTCCCTGCACCATCATTGCACAGTCCTAGTCTGTGAATGGGAGGTGCTCTATAAACCCCAGCAGTTTTGACAGAGACACTTATCTGACAAAAACAAGGTGATTTTCTATTAGCTGAGGGTCTGTGCAATAGATTCCATCTTCCTTTAGGGAGGTACAAATGTTCCCCATCCAAGACTGCACTGCAGTTTTTCTAGAGGTGATCCACCCAGACCAACGATACTAATAAAGGCTTAAAACTGAATGAAGAAGGGTGATTTAGTATTGGCTGACTGTCTTAACATTGTATGTTTCACCACTTATGATGATGCAAAAAATATGTTTTTGTCACTGGTTATAGTTTAAAAAAACTGATTTAATTTAAATATAATAAAGGATTTGGTTTAATTACAAATTTCAGATACAGCTACTTTAAAAGCTTGCATCTTAAAACATTTTTCATTGAACAAAAACATTTATATGAAAAAAATAGTAGTATAAATGGAAGAAAGGTGCTGTAAAATTCATAAAAACCTCTAATAATCTTACATTTGTCAAACTCGATTTAAAATTAAAAAAGGACCCTCTAAAATGTTGGCAGAATGTTCAAGGAATTCCAGTTAACCACGAAGAAATAACAAAGCAGGTGTTTCAGCTGCTTGTCACTTCGCTTAATGTTGCCAAAACTCCTCACACGCTACTGTGGTAACTGAAGGGCTTTTATTTTGATTGAAATTCAGCAATTTACATACACTTCCGGATCATTCGTGTCGCTTAGTGTAGCTTGCTTCACGCTACTCCCAGACTAAGTCGATCAACCTTTTTTTAATAGCCTTGCAAATGCGCTCACACTGTAAAATATGCACTCAACGTGCCACATGTGTTACATTTACTGTACATGTCAAACCAGTTGCGTTTCGTTGAAGATGCGCTTTTATGCTCAGCTACTAAAGTTTCCCTTTAGTTGTAAAATTCTATATAAAAATTCAATATTTAGCGGATTCAAACATGCACAGTAAATAGATTGAATGATTAAATCGTTTCACTAACAACCATCGTTTCACCACGAGTATAATTTGTCATAAAAAAATGACCGCGGACACTTCTCCTTCACCGCCAGTTGTTTTAAAAAAACTCGCTCTTAATGGCTAATCCTTCAGTCATTCTGTCTGGTGCAGTGTATCAGCTGGTCAGGTGACTGAAAATATTTCCCACTGCGTTCTGGGGAATGTAGTTTTAACAAGAACATCCATCTTGTCTCTATCACTCTCACAATTCACCATGCGTGAATGAGTCAAATTAAAATTGGAACGTGTTTGCAAAGAAAGTGGATTACAGTACTGTTGGGTATGCATGATTTGCAACACGGGGTCATTGTTAAGATTTCTCTAATATTATCAAATCCCTTAATTTGTTCACTTGTGGTTATTTTGGAAACATTTATACATGTAGTTACATTGCTGTCGATGTAGGAATAGACAAAACGAAACGCTTGGAGTTTGTAATGTAGGGCGCTCTGAACGAGTTAAACTTTGATGCAGGACAAATAAATGTATTTCTCACAAGCTATACTGTAGTGGCTGTACAGAAGCAGTTTGAAATTATTCGTTGTTATTAATAAATCACTTAGCTTCGAACATGTGATATTTAGAAATATATAAAATGTCAATATACTGTCTACAGTATTTGCCATTTTAGT